AAGGGTAAGTGAAACAAACGATGCACGAGGACAAATGCACGACGTACGCAATGGAGAGAAAAGGACCTCGTGAAGCATCTGATGGCATGGCATGGCAAGGCGGAGGATATACCTTAGAGGAGGCTCAGTGGCGCCGTTAGGTGGGAAGTCAATGGGCGGCGAATGTAATTGTGGCTCTGAAAGAGAAGTTATCATAGAAAACCCATGTTACCTGCGGATAGGTATCAATGATGCATCACACGGACGCTGCTGTACGTGGGGGACACTTAGTGCCATGGTGCAGTAAGGAAGTGGGCAAGTGGGGAAGAAGGACCCTGGATGATGTAATGCGAAAGCGCCAATCCTAAGATTTTGAAGCACGGCTAAGCGGAGAATGTATGGCAGCACTCAACATCAACCTTTGGCTAGTGCGCGTGCTGTTACTAATCAAACTTGAAGATGCCTTACGGCAACTAGGAGACCTGGCGTTAGTAAAACTGCAAGTGACGAGGGTTGACAGCCGATCCACAACTTGTCCAAACGCTAAGAGCGTTTGGCTGATCACTTTAAAAGGCAAGTGCATCGGTCGGATTTGTTGCATTTCTCGCCGGCCACTGATCGCCCTGCTTCGTCGGCTGTCTCTTTGGATCCACCCTCTCGCTCAAAAGTCCAAAGTGAAATGAAACTGAGGAACTTAACTAAAGCCGTGTGACCTGATAACCCTCCTTCAACCCTTCAAATTCGGAGACCTGCTGTTGTGGATTGTTTACACGAGTTTCTAGTCAAACTGTTGGAGCAGAGAACTTTCCTAACCGATTGCAGCCGCCCCGTCATAGAGTTAATTTGGAAAAGAGACTAACGATCGTAATGCCACAGTCATAGAGGAGTCAGTCTGATCTCCATCACCCCCAGACTGCTTGCCTCTGCGATCCTTCAGAGACTGACTGGCACCCGTGAAAGCCGGATTTCTGAAGATCAAGGTTGATTTCGTCGAGATCGTGGATGCATTGACCGCATAATCAGCTTGCGTCCGTTGTTGGAGCACCGTGGTATATATTGGCGGCCCAACGTTGTCCTCTTCCTCGATATTAAAGGTGTATTTGATTCGGTGGATGGACGTGCACTTTAGGACTGTGTACTCAGGAAAGGTGTCCCAGAGAAATATGTGACTATTATCCAATCATTATATGGGCATAGCTCCGGCAGAGTGAAGGCTTACAGCAAACCCGTCTACTGGGATTTCCTATTACCATGCATGATGAGTTGATTGCGAGAAAGCAAGAAATCTCACCATGAGGTGGAAACTCAGCAGTGTAGCGCACGGCATTACCCCATCATTGTGATTCCAAATGATGAGGCGGACCTGAAAACATCCTTCATGAAGGGGAGCTGACGTACCATACATAGGGATAATTAAGCTGAAATGAAGCCGTGTAAGTAATGTTAAGGCTGTCATTGTGTAATGGTATTAAAGGAGAACAGTGCGTGGTGGCACAAATCCAAGCGACAAGTAGGAATACAATGTTCACAATAGGTTACTAACCTGTGGCATCGCGAGGTGTTTCCTTGACGTCCATGTCCGCACTCTGATAAATGGGAATGGTACTCCCGAAAGCGTGCACTACAAGCGTCACCGCTTGATAGCAACACGGTGGCCTTATCCTTCATAGCGGCGCAATGCAATGGTTTATTAAACCGCACGACGGAAAGCTGAGGCACCGGTGACGTATGATGTTTAAACCATTCACAAATATTCCCGACCTGGCGGGTGAGCTGGTTAATGGCTCGTTACTC